ACCCACCACCCCACTTCATTCTTCTACCCCCGCAGCGATTCGCTATCCCGCTCGGTACGTATAAACACGCACTCGCTTGTCACTCGGCCACTCGCCACTCGTTCGTTATTCGTCATCAAGCAGTGTGCGTGTTTGTGTATTTTTTCAAACAATTTATTCACCAACCACAATCCACAATTGTTAATAATATCTAGTAACAGGCGATTTAAAACCCGTTTAAATTCGTTTTTTTTCGATCGATTGCAGACGTCGTGATCAAAACTGAACTGACTCGCCACTGGAGTAAATACGTGTATACACCCACTCGGTTCGGCAACTCTCTCGGCCGAGAGCTTATTTACTGACTCACCACTGTACTCGTTAGGTGTAATCGACCCAATAGGTCGCGCAGCGAGCTTTGGAAAGGACTTAGCTTGGAGTGTCTGAAGGATCGAAGTTGTTGACATTGCCCAAAGGATTAGCAAACTCAAGTGGTAGTGGGCAGGTCACATTTGTCGAAGAGGTAGAGGTGTTCTGTAGAAGTGGAGACCACGTCTAGGCGAACGAAGTGTCGTTGGCGCTCTCCAGTTAGGTGAACTGACGATATCCGTAGACTGGCTGGCAATGGTTGTATAAGAGCTTGTTTACTGCTATAACTTCGTCGTTTGTGCACAGATTTTAATGATTGGTGCTTACTAGCTATTTATCAAACTAATTATAGGTAATAAGGGAACAGAGAGTAAAGTTCTCTGAGATCAAAAAAGGAAAAGGAGAATCTTCCGAGCGAGGTGATCGATTTGGCGGGCTACTGCTCAATTGGATTTCCTATTGGTGTTTAAGTAGCCCGTACGAGATTCGCAAATGCGATCGCGGACTTTTTTTATGGTATAAGTCGGCAAACGAGCAGACGGATTACCTGATGGTAAGCAATCGGCGCCGCCCATGGACACCCGCAACACCAAAGTTTTTTACAGATTATTAGGTATGATAAGTTTTACTGTTTGATTATTATATTTTTTTTAACAAAAATCAAATAGGTACCTAGACTACAAGCAGTGAACTGCAAAATAAAAAAATACATTTACTTTGTGAAAAGTTTACCTATATAGAAAAAATATTGGACAACTAGCGACCCGCCCCGGCTTCACGCGGGTCAATGCTGATACTTAATTTCTCCGCTATTTTGGATGTTATACTTTGTGTAAACTTTTTTTATTATTTTATTGATTTATTTATTTTATTTATTCAAGAGTAATTTTCCGCACTCTGTAACCCCATCATGTTTTTGCAAAAATAAACCTTATGACAAAAGCATTTGATTTTTTGAGAATAATTCCAGAAAGTTGGCTGTTAGAATTAAATAAACAATAATAAAACGTGACTCGGCTTGGTTTTGCAAACCCCTGAAGTCGAAATTTAACTCTGTGGGCATGACGGCGTGACTATAGGTGACTCTTATGACAAATGTCGTTTTAGCAGAGTTTTTTATGTTTTAGTTTTGTATCCTCTCGGGCACCATACGCCATTACGCGAAAGATTTACATGGTGCCTGTGCGGAATCATCATCCGCACGGAATCGGTTAACGACATTATTCAACGGCGCAATGTCAAAAGTCCTACTAAATTTGGCTTTGAGTTGTTCAGTAAACTTAAAACATTAATTAAATCATCCGATGAGCTGGGTGGGTGTCCGTTACCCAGGCCAGATGTTGTCGACAATGGTCATTTGAATCTTATAGATAATTAGTTGTGCGGCTTCTGTAATTGTTGCGCACATTTTTAAATTTGTTGCGCTTATAGTTTTTTAATTATTTCACAAAAACATTTCCTGCTGGCGTAACGTTACCACAGCCAGACCTTTTTATTTCTAATGGGAATATTTAAATAAATATTAGCTATAAAATTAGTTGTCTAGATAAAGTAAATGTTGTGCTTTATTTTGTATTTGTTCTTTCTTCGGTTGCGAAGTTATTCGAGATTTTGCTGCGGTAACGTTTTTGGTTTTGCTAGATCTTTGAAATGGTTGAGCGGATTCTTATCATATTTTGTACACGACTTCCGAGGACTTTGTTAAAATTTGTTGTGCAATAACAAAACCAAAATAATGCATATTTCAAAGGTTTTCTCATTAAATAGAAAAACACTTCAATTGGCCCCAGCACTCTCAATAAGAAGTCTAAAGACTTACTTTAAACGTAATTTTAAAGCTTGTAACTGCCTTCAAATGTATGTGAAGTTTCATTAGTATCCCGTAAGTATTTAACAAGTTATGATGATATTCAGTTCTTCACGAGCACGGCCTTAATGCACGCGGTGTTATTTGGCCACTGGATTGGATATATGAACTGAATGTTACGTCAATAATTAGTTGTTTAGATCAGTTGTATATCAGTAAAATTTCAGCTCAATACATTGGATAATTAATGAGATAATACTATTAAAGTCATTAAGAAGTGAATGACCGTGGTAAGCCGACCAAGTTTAGGTGGTTACGAAAAAGCGAATTTCTTTCTCCCTTACAAAAAAAAAATGAAACATACCTACTTACATATAGCTAAGTTAATCAGAGGGTCTAGTGCGAGCTTGCTTTACGTTACCACGATCAACACGTTTCAAGAGTGTCAAGACGTACCTACAGCGCTTGCAAAAAATGTTAAATATGTGTAAGAAGTTTTAGGGCTAACAGTACCTTTGTACAGGTAGCTAGGTACCTAGCCGATGAGTAATGTGGTACTTACAGGCTCTGTGTCAGCTCGCTTGCAGGCATCCAACAACAGCAGTGCGCTGAAGGCGCGCGACGCGGCGCCGCGTGGCAGCCCGCGGCGACACAACACTGCCATGTGGACGTACTGGTTCACTTGTCACTCCACTCCGGCGCAAGGTGCGCGCGGGACACTGCCACACTGTAGTCCGGCGCGAGGGTTGTCGTCGCTATATAACTGAGCATCCCTCCCGAAGCCGGCCCGCCGCGCGCCGGAGGACGGAGGGTGGTATCACGACATTCAAAATATCCGACGCGCCCTCCGCAAATTGTTGGCTAATTAATCTATTGTGTTTGTGTTTACATAGCTGTAGGAGTTTGGGTGTTTTGAATAATAAGTATCTAATTAGGTATGTCTACTGGCTAAGTCGACCTGTTTCCGTTTGGAAAGTGTAATTTACCTACCTACTTGGTTTTTTGGTTGATTTGACTATGAAACACCCTGTCCTAAATGTAAATAAATTATCTAGTATAAATATCTAGTAGTCGCTTTTGAAAGCAACTGTGTATAAATCTTGGTTGTTTTTTAAAGTAGTAATAAAAATAAATAAATAAATAAATCTTTGTTGGTTTTGACAAAAGTTAATGTTTCATATAGATATAGTGATGGAAGTGTCATTAGTTTGAGGCTTTTAAAATACGGTTTACAGCTTGTTGTGCAATCTATGTTGCATATTGCGCGAATACACTTTTTCTGTGTTCTAAACACAGTATCTTTATTGACAGAATTACCCCAGTAAACGACGTACCTATCCATGATAAGCATTCAATACTGCTACACGATTGACTACTTTTGTTAATTTGCTTAGATCATAGGCAGAGGTGCAAATTTCATTTTTGATTATTTTGGTGCAAAATTCATCGCAATGTGTTTACCACGAAAAATTGTAGTCAATATTCAAACCTAAAAACAATGTCAAAGTATTATTAATGTCAGCTTCATAATTGTCAAAATTTCCACATTTAATTGTGACGGTAGGTACTATTGTCAGCAAATAATACAAAAGGATGTCCATGTAAGTTCAGTAAATTGTTGTCTATTAGTAAGGTATGATTGAATTAGATTTAAGATATTACCCCGTATTCCGTAGGTAGGTATGAATTTTGTTTTTGAGCAAGTTTTTGTGATAAACGCAGTCTCTGCAGATTATTATAAGTATAGACTAGTTGCCGCCCTCGCTCTCTCTCCGCACCATGGCCTCGACTAAGGTCGGGCGCCAAAGGTCGCCGCCGCCGATTACTTCCCTGAGGACACGGCGGTGCTCAGCCCAGGCAGGGCACATCGCCACCGCATGCTCCACCGTATCCTCTAGGTCTTCACAATGACGACACCCGGGCGTTTCCTCGCGCTGGATCCGAAACACGAACGCCGTGAGGACGCCGTGGAGTCTCTCAAGCCACTCCTCAAAGAGGGGTCTACCGCCCGATGTGAGAATAGTGTAACATGATACGATATTCAGTTAAAGTATCGAAAAACAAAAATAACCTCGAGGACAAATATTCAGACAGTCTCAATTTACGGCTCCCCTTTACCAACATAACACCTGACACGAAGGCACCTACACCAGCACCGCCCAACTCAACAATAACTATTAAAGCGAATTGATCTAGTGCCGTAATTTGAGTAAGCCAAAACACATGATTTGATTTAAGTATCTTATTTAAGCGAAATATAAAAGAGCTTTCGCTCGGCACTCGTATTGCAATGTTCCTCAAACCAATATTTTAGAATATTGGCCCACATTACTTAGTATGCCTTCCTGCAGATCTACACATCACACTTAAACCCTGAACAACAAACTGTGAATCACTTGAAGCAATTTAATCAAATTTAAATAAAATAATAGTTAACTTTATACCAAAGAAATGAAACCAACATTTGATAATACGTTATTATTTTAATCGAAAACATCTAAAATAAGTAAGTAAATGGCTTCAGTTAATGTTAATAGGTATTATCTAAACTCTAAAGATAACAAATAGGTGTATAAATACGTAACAACGTCGTGGTAGGCACAGGCGGGGCGGGCGACTAGCTCGTGTACAATTACATAACAGGTTCCATTCAGATACATATACTACCTACAGGTACCTTGTAATATCATGGCGTACTTAAATACCAGGTTTTTAACAGGTTCATATATAATTATGTATATTGTATATTCAACATATATACCTAAGTACATATACTTATTTGTAGGTATAAGATATATGATAGATTAGGTATTATTGATGTTATTTAAAGTAGGTACATACATATATGTATTAGAATGCGTTTTGTACAATCTATGCACATTATATAGTCACTGCGGAGCCTTTGATGTTGTTTTGAAACAATGTATACAGTATTTTACATATTGCTGACCCGTCTTCGCAGCTACACGGTAGGTATCAAACCCACTCATACATACAGTGCATCTAGCTGTATGCGTTCTGTGTTGGTTCAGTCACCGTGCACCGGCGCTAGTGACGACCGGATGGCGGACCTCACATCGATGTGTGGATGTAGCGTCTAGGTATATACTATGTATAATAAGTATGTATGTAGACGATGGAGTCAGCGTCGCGTCTCGCCTGTACCTACTCAACTACAACTACCAACGAGAAACGTCCGTACTGTCAGCGCCACAGACGAGAGCACCGTGACGGCCGGCAGCGACTCTGTGACCGCATCGCGGCGCCCGGCGATCACCAATAACAGGTGCACGCCTAGTGTGTGAATTTTAGCAAAGACATATAATTTAGTACCGTAACTAATCGTATTAGAGTTCATAGTTTAGCAATGATCACAAGTCAAGGCACACGAAAGTTGAGCACGTAGTTGTCCTCATCTTCTCACCGGCGTTTATTCATCAGCTGGAAGAAAAAAAAGCAATTAGCAGAGCAGTAAGCTGTCGCGAGCCTTACGTCCGCGATTTATTTACTGTTACTTCTTTTTCCCTTATTCAAGCTGTTACTCATAATAAAATATGAAATGAAATTTTAAGTGTGGGAGTGCCATGCTTTGGCACGAATGGGTCGGCTAGACCGGAGTGATACCACGGCCTCGCAGAAAACCGGCGTGAAACAACCACAGCATTGTGTTTCGCCATGAGAGTGAGGTTACCGGTGGCCCAATCTCTCCCCCTACCCCCATTCATTCCCCATCCTTAAATATCTGGAACCCTTATCCCTAATAAGCTCGTTTGCTGACCTATTACATAAAAAAACGAAGAAAACAAAAATGTACTTATGCTGCGATTAAGTATTATTTTTATGAATACACCAGCAATATCTCTTTCCGTAATCAATTTTGGTAAATAATCTATCTTTTAGCATTCGTACTGGTAAAACTTATACTGGCAGATATGTTAGCGTTGTTGTTATTGTTGTTGGATGATTAACAAATATTGCAGATTTTACGAAACAATAAGACATTTAATGGTCTTTGATCTATATGTGGGGCAGCGTATATAAGTCATCCGTAGCATATTACAAGTGAAAATGCTACGACTGGCGTAGCACAGCGCGGCGTAGGCGTACGTAGCCCGTTAGGGTCGCAGTCGTGCTGCTGCCATCTTTAGGTCGTAGAAGTAGATGTCTACTAGGAGTCGTGCAAACTACACAATTCAGTCCCAAAACTATTAGTTGCCTTTTTTACTGAGGCCCGTAAAGTTGCTCAGGAAATGAACGTCTAATCAGTGCACTGCGCTCCCCGTTTCAAATGTTATTGCCTCCGACCGGCCCGTCCTAACTCATCATACATGACAAATTAAGCTTCACACTAGTTTCGATGAGTGCTCTAAATGTAACATTTAAGCTCTTTACATTATTATTGTATTGTATGGACGCGATAGAAAAATATTCGTCTCGTAGAAATGGGAAGCGCAGCTGCACAAACAGTGTGTTGCTCCGTTGCAAAATGAATTCTATGTCATTAGGCGCATAGTTAGTTTTTGATTAGCGTGCATGATGTCGCGACAAAGAGGGAGGCGAGTGACGCCACGTGCTGTTCGTAATTGTTGTTTAAGAGGCGCACTAATGTGCGTACACAGATAGTACGGAGCGGGCGCGGAACATTTGGGATCAACTGCACCGAGCAACTCGTACGGTGTCGCCTGCACTATTGCACTGTTGCAGTATTGGGGCCCGGCCTATTGTTGGCGGTGCACTTATCGCATACTTGATCGTAGCACGTGCGCCACGATACCATCTACTGATTGCAGTGCTGCACTACACAACATTAACTTCTTATCTTAAGTACCATCTCACTCAAAATATAATCAATTATGCGGTGGACAGCATCATGCAGTTATTCAGTTATAATAAACTTTTATTAACTCGTGTCTGCAGTAGGTACGTACAACAATATCCGTAGCACGCCCCCTCTATCCGAAACTTAAAAATGCCAAGTTCCACTATTTTGTGTAATGTCTAAAATGTTGCAATAATAGAAATAAAACAAATTCTAAAAAGCCGTGGTGGCTAGGAGGTACGGCTGCTACTACGCTTCCAAGAGTAAGGGTTCGAAGCCTGGCAAGTACCTACCATTGTGACTATCTCCGAGCTATATGTATGTAAACAAATAATGTAAGAAAACCTGGACTTGCATATAATATATCTAATAATAAGTTTGAAATCACCAATCCGCGTTCACTTAACGTAGTAATTTATGCTTAAGAAGAAGCCCTTGCTCAGCAGTGAGCTCTAATATGCTGATATGATGTGACATCAAGATTTAAGAAAGCTCTATATCACGCCAAGAGTATTATGCAAGTCAAAGTGGTTATACTTAAATGATATTGTAGCTAATGTGAATAATGAGATGGTTTGTAATGAGTGGAGTGTGATGCGACGCGCTGTTGCCCGCAGTAAGTGGGCAGCGCGACGCACGTGCGCACGCGTCGTTCCGCGCGCAACACAAACTGACTAATACTCTTAACTAACTCATTCAAATGTGAGCCGCATCAAAACGTTATTATAATGTCATCACAGCGTATCAATCTTAATTGTTCGCGACCGCGACCCTCGACGCATTGTTTGCTTCCCCTCGCCGTTCACCGCACATTTAAACATTCAGCGAGCCATTCATGTCACAAGCTGATTATATGTCGCTAAGAGATTATGTTTTGTAGAGCTTTAGGTTAGAATTGAAGTTTGCTTGACACTCTGATTTAGTTAATGTGAATGGTATGACGGTAACAAAAGTGGCGGATCGACGCGTGACCGCAGCGGATGGGGCGCACGTGCGAGGTGGCGCGAATGGCGGCGCGGGCGCGGCCTGTGGCGACAGGTGGCGGACTCACGCTCCTCCTCGGGCGGCGCCGGCTCGGCCTGCGACGGCGGCGTCATGGACTCGGCGGGCTCGGCCCGCTCGGCCGCGCGCTCGCCCGCCGCGCGGTACAGCTCCGCGCGCGCCTCCACCACGTCGCGCACGATCTCTGCGCACACCGGACACGTCACACATTGCACTCGACGCGAGGCCTGAGTGTCTCAGCTCACAGCTCGCTCACCTGTGATGACGTCCCGGCTCGTGATGATGGACTCGATTTCTTTCGACACTTCGTCGACAAGCCACGGCATGAACTCCTCATCGATACCTGCAAACATTAAAACGTGTCAAACTTGGTAAGTGGACGTACTATTACGTAAAGCGCAAAAACATTATGTGTAGGAATATCGTCTCTTGATATCCTAGCACTTAATATTAAAAGTCTTGATATAGTTTGAAATTACTGTATTCTCTAACTTGATTACAATTACTTGATATTGATGAGAGATGTATGAAGGGTGAGAACGCGCGGTGTACTTGATGACCGAAAACGATCTGAATGCAATTACTTACTTTTATATTATAACAAATTATAGAAATGATGACGCGTGCGTTTCACGCGGTTTCGTAATTATGTCGAGTGTAACTCGTACATTATGTGTGCTTTCCCCACACTAAAGACTGTCAACCAAGTTGTTTTAAAAATATGTCCTGTGTCTATCAGTGAGTAAGTAACATTGTACCCCCGACGTCCTCATTCGTGGCGAGGTGTGAGGCTCCATGAGGATGATTCCCCCTCCTGCTGTCCAAAAATGGCTAAGTATATTTTAAAAACACTAACCATGTGTTGGTGATCGTGATTGATTTATGTTACCTACAATGTACTTGAAAGACAGATTCTAAGTTAAAGTGTACCTAATGGCAAGTTTATTTAGGTGAAGATACTAGTGAAGGAATTTCAAAAAATGCCTAGACCCTATCATCTTTGTCATCCGCCTTAAGTGTTAAGTATGGGAGAGCCATGCTTCGACACGAATGGGTCGGCTCAACCGGAGTGATACCACGGCCTCACAGAAAACCGGCGTAAAACAACCACAGCGTTGTGTTTCACCGTGTGAGTGAGGTTACCGGAGGCCCAATCCCTTCTCGATCCCTTAATCTCCAAATCCCTAATCCCTAAAAGGTCGGCAACGCACTCGTAAATCCTCCGTTGCGGGTGTCCATGGGCGGCGCTGATTACTTACCATCAGGTAATCCGTCTGCTCGTTTGCCGATCTATTACCTACATAAAATATTCTGCACGTGTTTTGCATATTGTACATCCAGGAAATCGAATCGAGTGAGCAAGCGTGATGATCGTGCTCGACAGCGGGGCATTTACAGGCTGCTCCTGCTGCGGACGATGATTCAATTATAAATGTATTGAAAAACATAGATCACACTTTATACAGCTAGCTCAATTGTTTTAAGTAATAGGTATTAGGTTAACTAATTCAATTTATAAGTTAACTTACCTAATCATATTAGATTATTATTACATATACCTATTTATTTTAACAACTCTACAATTACATTTTAAGTATTATTGAAAAAAACAAATAAAGTAATATTTAAAAATATAAAAATAGGAGCCAGCCCGTAGCGGGAGCAAGGTCCAAGCCACCGGTGGTTAGGGCTCCAGAGACAGAAATCTCCTCCTCAGTTTATTATAATTATTATGATATATTATAAAGAGATGAACTCTGAAATGTAAAGTGCCTATGGAACACCCAAACTAGATTTATTTAAACCTGTGTTTCAGGGTAGATTAGATGCGTAAAATGTAATATAAGAAGTGTAAGAGCACAGACCGCGTTCGATCCTCTCCATGAGGTAGCCCTGGTCGCGCAGGCCGGCCAGCACGGCGGGCAGTAGCTCGGCCACGTAGCCCTGCACCAGCACGGCGGCCGCGGCCCGCTCGCGCGCCTCCGTCGCCGCCAGCTGCGCCACGCGCGCCTCCGCCACGCGCCGCTCCTGCAACCGCGCCGTCAGTCACGCCGGCCCGCGGCCCGCGGCCCGCGCCCGCCGCAGCCCTACCTTCTCCCGGTGCAGGCGCAGGTCGTGCGCGGCGAGGCGCTGTCGCTCCGCCAGCTCGGCGTCCCGCAGCTCGCAGTAGCGGCGCTGCTGCTCGCGCAGGGTGGCCAGCTCCTCCTCCTGCGCTACCTCCGCCAGCGCCTGCTCCGTCGTCTTGCCCACGAGCACCTCCAGGATGGGTTGCACTTCCAGGTCGAAGTCAAACAACTGCACGCACATCATCACCACCATGAGAGTCGACCCGCAGCAAGACCCGCGACTATTGAACAAGGCGTGCTCACGTCTCCGGGGTATATCTGCGTGAAGGCGTCGGCGCCAGTCTTGGCAGGCACGTACACGGGCGTGGCGGGCCGGTCCACGAACAAGTCCGTCTGCACGCCCACCTCCATCTCCACGCCCTTGTCGAACAGCTGCAACATTACATTATACTTAGCTACGTACATGTCCGTGCCCCATAGTCCCGTGCGTAGCGTTTGCTGACTGTACCGATGTCTTCTATACCAAGATAGAGTAAGGTAGGGTCGTTACTTCTATCAAACATCTGTACCTTACAAAATTCCACAGAATTTCAGTTTCGAGTAGGGATCGCTTCTGAAGGAAATTGTAGTATTTAATGCGAAGGACGAACGGTGGAAGACAATTATATTGTTACGAAAGTCCCTTCCTTTATACAGTGATGCAGTAATTGTACTTCATTTTATTTTAGATATATAGCTTGGCAAGCCATCTTTCTGAATGGTGGCTAAAATTAGAGTCGTCTGTCATACTCAAGTGAAATAATTGGAGTAGATAGTGAGTGTAGTTTAGAGAGGCAGTAGGCAGTACCTCCTCGAGGTAGTACTCGGTCTGAATGGGATGGTGGCGGCGGCCGGGCGCGGGCGGCGGCGTGCCGGGCCGGGGCCGCGCGGCCGCCGCCCGCCGCGCCAGCGCCCGCCGCCGCGTGCGGGCCGCGCGCGCCGCCGCGCTCTCGATGCCGTCGCCCTGCAACACACTCCGGCCTGTAAGCTCTATTGTTCTGATAGCGTCATTGCCACAGTTTCCACTTGGTCATGAGTAAGATCTGAACATTTTATAAAAGTTATAAGTTTATCTGTAAAAGTATGGGGGAGTGATGCCCTACGGCCCTAAAGGATATCGGAGAGAAACAACGGCTGCATTGTGTTTCGCCGAGGTTACCGGCGGCCCGAACCTTCCTGAAACCCCAGCCTAAGAACCCACAAAAAATCGACAACGCACTTATAGTTTCCTTTGGTATTGCAGGTGTCCATGGGCGGCGCCGATTGCATAGGATGAGAGCCGGGAGATCCTTTGCCGGCCTATTTCATAAAAAAAAAACTATTCTCGTTTACAAGTAAGAACGACCAGCGACTATAGAGTCTGTTGTGGTTTCCTGTGCTTTAGGTAGGTACTTTATTTTCTTTGAGATAGCTTTAGAAAGATTACTTCAATAATCTGTGCCTGCCCCAGCCAGACACCCCTGAACTTAAATAAATTATAATAACACTCGTTAGAGAACAAAAGCTGAATATTATACATTTACTCAGAAAGCTGTTTTTTTATTCATTATAGGTTCGCACTTGACCGCTTTCTCACCTGATGGAAAGCGACGATGCGGTCGACGATGGAGCGCGCTTACCTAGAAGTAACCTATTCACTCTCGACTTAAAGATACCCGGATTGTAGCTATCAGCAAACACCGACTCCGGCAAGGAATTCCACTACACATGTTACACATGTTACCTCAGTAGAAGTTTTTACAGCTTTCCTGACATATAGCTTTACAGCTTTCATCGCTTACCATCAGGTGATCCGTCTGCTCGTTTGCCTCCTATTCCATAAAAAAAATATTGATGTGTAGCTCAGGTGCTATCGCGAGACAACTGTTGGAGACTTCATGTCATCATTCATCAATGCTACTTCGGCAATCTCTGCGAGCCAATCATTTTAATGTCCCTTTTGGAACCATACACATATGAAAATTTAACCACTGGGTATTGAGACGAAAGACGCCAGATCAAATAGTTCCAGCGGGATTAACCACCGAAGTTACGTCAATGACTCGCTCAAACCTTTAGTCACTGCATGGTCGTTCCAAGTTTCAATTTTTATAAAATATAGTTCTGACTGTCTTGGCCGTCTGCAATATAAGTACCTTGTGCGGACAGTAACATTAGCTTACTATTAAACATTTATTTGTCATTGAACAAGTCGGGGCTTTCTTGAGTTGAGGTAAGGTCCACACACTACTTTGACCTTGACACTGACCGCGTTAGTGGATGAGTTGTTACAAACGTGACGAGGTTGCAGGTGCCTCAAGGAAGCAAGTTGCTTTCTCTTCACAATAAATCAATATTTAAATTGGTTAGTTTCGCGTGTGTAAACATTTTCTAATAGTACCCACCTACCTTAAAAATGTAAGGCATCTTAAACCCCTTGCAGTAAATGTTGTTTATTTTAATTGAATAATAAGCATGGTGCATTAATGTATTGCAGTTGAGTAGTGGATGATTGTTTGGCACATTACAAAAAGCTCCAGTATATGTGTGTGAGGGCTGAGTAGGCACGTACCGCGGCGAGCGGGTGCGAGGTGATGGTGCTGCCGCGGACCACGCGCTTCTCGTGCATCACGTTGGCGTACTGGCCCGCGCCCACACTGCCGCTGTAACATATTTAACAGCCATTTGGTATTGTGTTGGAGTGTTTGAAATCCGCATTGTTTCAATTTCAATATCTTTATTTGTAATTCTTATAGTATCTGCTTGCAGTCGCCAATGACCCCTTCGCGGTGTGACTTCGGCCGCGTAGAAAACCGTAGTTTCATTCACAAGGATGATTATTAAGTATGCGTAACTGTTACGAAATGTCATTAATATTTTATTTAACCTATCCTGCTTGGATGAAAGTCAGCGCTCAAGGAAACAGATCGTGCCGCCGCCGCCCATACATACATCAAATATTGCTGCAGATCCTAAGCCTAAGATTGAGAAGAGCGTAGCTTTTTGGATTCCAGTTACAAAATTCCAGTTTCCTAGGCGGCCGAAGTCACACCGCAAGGGGCTATTGGCGAATACAAATAACTGAAAAGAAAGGAACGACGATCACAATTATCTACAAACACATTTAAGTACTTATAATAGTTTCGCTGACGTCACGCGTCACCTTGCAACAACGTGCAAACTTTCAGAACATTACTTGGTAGGCACTGGTATTTACGGGTATTTTTTGGTTACAGTTGTTACTGTGTTGTGAAGGCGAGCGTTCAATTTTACGTTACGATAAACATTGTACTTGGAAGGTGTGGGATACTTACCAACCAGAAAGGTATAGGTATAGGTACGTACCAAGCTCGTTACAAGTCGATTACATTATAAAACAATCTCAGAATGTGAATAACATCCACTTTTAAGTGCTGTATCATCATAGAAATTGGCGATTACGAGTACGTATATGTTACATATGTAGGTATAGGTATTGACGACTATACGCTAATATTGAGCATGGCGTTGGAGCTGGTTTGATGATGAAATTGGTAGGTGGTTGATGGAGTCTTGGGCCGCCTGCCAGTAAACACGTCGAGTAACTAATGACCACAACTCATTAGTTACATAGGTTCATGTGTTCTGATGACGTAGGCATATTTTCAAAGGGTGCTTTAAGATTTCTACATTCATTCACACAATCTATAGGTATATTAATAAGTAAGGTCAACATTTAATTATTCGTTTGGTTGGCTCCCAATAAGGAGGTCCAATTGCGTAGAATCCGGATTATAGAGAGGTTACTGTTGACAGTTGCAGAGGACAATTTAATCCTCATGCCCCTAGAGGATTGGGACCTGGCACTAATCTACGCAAAGTAGTATATATGTATACATATTATTAAAATTCTGGATTCGTTCGAAAACCTAACATGGGGCAATATTGAGAATCGATGTTTGATGGAAGCCGTAGGAAGAGGTGATATACCGGTACTTAAAAATATGATAACTCGATCGAGTGGCGGAGCGGTCGTTGCATGGAATTAATATCATTAAAGAGTATCGGATTGCAAACGAATTGAGTTTGAGATAAGATACGACAGGCGAATGTATTGTGGAGCGGAAGTTAAGGCAGTGTGTTGACCTCGGCGGCGGTGCGGGCGGTGAGTCGCCGCCGCGAGTCGGCATAAAGTGGGGCGCCGGACTGCCACCCCTCGCGCGCCAGCGGAGTGGATACGCATTACCAGCAGTCCTGACGAATTCATGTCATTAATGCGAACAACGTTTTTAAAGTTAAAGGGTCGATAAAGTGGTGGCTGTGCAGCACAGGCCACTAGAGCACAACATGCATAGGCACGTGTGCACAGTGCACATGGAGGCAAGCAGACGAGCACGTACGTGGAGCAGGGCCCGGCGGGCTGCAGGAGATGGCGCACGCCTGCCACGCCAGCCAGCAGCGCGCGGACGCCCCCGAACAGCTGACTGGCGCGCGCGCGGCGTGCTTCGTCCTCCACACTCCCGTTGGGGATAATGTTCTCCTTCTTCTCTTGGACTGATCGTTTACATCTCGAGGCGACGGCTTTCGGCTTGCTAGCGTACGAGTATACAATCTTGTCCCTTTCTTTCGGCGGGTACAAGGTTTCTAGGCCCAAGATCCGCGCTACCTCGGGCGGCGGTAGCAAAAATTGACCAGTTTTCACAGTTGTTACAAACCGAGGCTTGTCCCCATCATTAGATTGTGCGTTCCTGGACCGGAGCTTGCGCCCGGGTGACGGCGACTTATCCATTTTAGGGGATATTTTTTTTTCAACCTCTTGCTCAATAATGTCAATACGTGGATGCGACTGACTAAGAATTTTGGGCAGTGATTGTTCTCTCGAGCTGACATTAGGATTGGACGCTGCCAGTATTCCGTTTTTGGAACGGTATCGAGTCGGGCGTCGCAGGTTGGCTTGCAGGATTTCCTTCTCTTTCAGCCGCCGGAGTTTGAAATCCAACGCGCGTGAGAACTTGGGGTCGAGGATCGTGTGCGAGGCAGGTGGCGCCGCTACCTGCATCGGCTTCACCACGTTCACGTTCCGCGGCGGCGGCGCGGGGTCGGGCGCGGCCTGTGCCTTGCTGGGCACGCTCTCCGCATGGTTGATGATGGCGAAGGCGCTGGAGTCGTCGGTGGGGGCGGGCGCGGGCGGCATGGCGGCGCGTCACATGGCCGGCGACCGCTGCGCTCGCCGGCTAACGATCACTGCCGCGAGCTGGCGGCCGCTGGTCAGCCGGGCTCAGTGGCCACTGGTCGTAAGCGCCGCCCCCCTGCCCACCTGTGCTGTTCCGTCCACGCACACTAGCAATGCGGACATACCGCGCAAGCGCCACGTGTCACGCCGAGGGTAAACACTGGACTACCTTTGAAGAAACGTTTGTCGAGTGCGACCATATTAAGGCATTGTTCCATTTCAATACTTTTGTATTCGGTCAACTTATCAATCGATGCTCGTTAAAAACATTTTTATTCATTATTTCTGTCTATCTCTTTGTAGAGGACGCATTTAAAGGCGGTTATTTTTCCGAAGGGATTATAGTAGCATATTTATTTGTTTAGATAATAAACATACACATCTACATAAAATTACGCCTAGTCCGAGGGAGGTAGGCAGAAACTACGGTGCGCTTTTTAACTATAATCTGTATATCCCTGCTTCTTGCTTACGGACGGGGAAACCTCAATTCTGCGCTGTCTGCTTGTTGCGAACTTGAACTTGGTTCAGGTGTCTGTCGTGTTCCTTGTTGGTGACACTGTACAGTAACCTGAACCTGATACCTGCACTACACTCACATGTTTGGATTGAGGTTGATGACATCAATATTGTTTCACACAAGGTGTTGTTACAAGTTTGTTTCCATTCCAACATTGATCACACCCACAGTATAGAAAGAATGCAGTAGGTATGCGTGCACGTGTTGAAATATCGAGTGCATAGTGTTTGCGTAAAGTATGGATGCCGTAGATTGTCGAATAAATAAATTATATTCTCACAATGAGAGTATGTACCCATGGTGTAAGTTGTTTTCTGTCAATGAGTAGGCTTCATATGACAAATGTTGTTTAAGCTTGAACATCTTTTTATTCTCGCCATTAAATTATTGCGGTAATATAACATCTAATAACCAGCAAGCGGCGTCTACTTAAACAAAATTTTATATAATTTAATACAATGGCGACCGCTGCGTGACCTTCAGTTACTAAACTGATTGTTAACAGTTCTAAGAACGTGCGTCATTGAATCGCCAACTTAATTACAGTCGGCGGTGGCCGGTGCGACCGCTACGCAAGTGCTACGCCAACACGCGGGCTGCTACGCAATTGCTACGACCAGCAGTCGCTACACACTCATCTCACGCACATGCTGCGCCACTGTGCCTTTCACAGCGAATCGGCCTTATGGCTCTTGTATCAAAATGTAGAGATTATGAATACACTTTTCACGGTCGTCCGGTTTTAATCGAGGCTATAGTGTGGAGCGAAAGAAACTGGGAAGCCGTCTCCTCTTTCCACGAAACAATGATGCTTGCAAGATAGGAGGCGCAGCGCGTGGGGTATTCTTCTCTCGGCCCAGCCGCCGCAGTAGGCTACACTCGGGGCGTCGGGATCGCGCAACTTTCCGCCCATCCAGAACCAGACCCGAGTTTGTAGTCTCGAGGACCCAATAGACCATCACAGATGGGCACTACGGGGCCCATATGCTTAGCCGGCGTCGCGGGTAAGCTTTCGGGAGCAGGTAGAGCAGAAGACGGAATGGGGGCTTCTTAGTCAGTAAGAGTCTAACTCCTCTGCACCCTGCACGCCATTCAGTCATTTGATGATTTTCCCTAAGCAAAAGGGATAATGAGTTTTCCCCACAACTCTATGACTATTGAAATAGTAATTCTGTCCTTCATGAGTGATAGGTGTCCATACCTGTGGATAATGTTTTACTTATACATCTTATTAAATGTTAGGGAAAATATTTAGTTTTAATTCCGCGACAAAAATCCAGGCTTGTTGCAGGATGCAATCCCACTCCTACGCAATCATGCATATGCACATGCAGCAAGGGTCCCACCCTCCCGCCCACATGCATATGCACACATACACAAAACGGAAAAACATGTCACGCAATCAAACCTATACTCGACACGTGTTTCGCCCCTCCACAGGGCATCCTCAGGAGATGTTGACTCGACGAGCGCTCGGCTGCGAATGAGCTAGTACGACAGCTCTCGCCTCTTATATAGTGTCGTGATGACACATAATCGATACAAACGTCTTTGTATCGATTGCATCGATCACACAATCGATACAATCGACACAAACGTCATTGTGACGCCTGCATCGACTATGATCTACCTGTAATCACACTTAAAAGAGGGGATGTAATTAAGTTTGTTTGCTCATTCAACAGTGTAAAATTACTATTATTATTATGTTTGGAGATTTCTAACTGCTCCAACACACACAACCGGAAATTTTTATCACAAACATGCAGAACAGTATACGTGTTATTGTCGCTCAAGGAATGGCCGGTGTCAATTAAATGTTTAGCGAAATGTGACTTGTCTGGATGGCCATTCCTGTAAGCGGCAATATGCTCCTTAAATCTAACCTCAAAATTACGGCCTGTCTGACCCACATAGACCCCGTTACATTCGTTGCAAATTAATTTGTAAATACCGGATTTTTTTGAATTTTGTAATTTATCTTTACCGTTACAAAGATTACGTAAATTGTGATCTGATCGAAAAGTAACGAAAACATTGTGTTTTTTAAGAATATTTGCGATTTTATCAGAAATGGGGCCTATGTAAGACAGACTACCGACATACTTGTTAATTCGTTCGGGGGTACATGCATAAAGAAGTGAGCGAGCCCTGTCATTCTGTTTTTTCTGAATAATATTATCGATAACTTGTTTCGAATACCCGTTTGAAATCGCGATTTGATATAATATTTTAAGTTCTTTGACACAATTATCTGTGGAAAGTGGGACTGACATTAAGCGATGGACATAGCTGCGGAAGGCTGCTAGTTTGTGTTGTGATGGGTGACAAGAAGAAGCGGGAATTGTTGTGTCGGTATGAGTGGGTTTACGGTAAATTTGGAAATCGAGTTTGTTATTAACTCTAGTGATTGTTAAATCGAGAAAATTGAGGGAGTGGTTGGACTCTAATTCTAATTTGAATTTAATTTTGGGGTGGAAAGTGTTAAGTTTATTAACAAAAATATTTAATTGACGAATAGTACCCGTCCAACAGATAATTATGTCGTCTACGTATCTATAATAAAACAGAATGTTGGGCTCGCCCACCACATATTTACACTCAAAGTAGTCCATAAATACTTCCGCCATTAGAGGACTCAATGGTGATCCCATTGCTAACCCCTCCTTTTGGCGAAAATATTCATTATTAAAACAAAAATAATTTTGTTGCATGCAAATACGTGTGAGGTCAAGAAGGACATGCATTTCTCCAGGGTGTAAACGTTGTCTCTCCAAATGGTTCCCCAAAATACGAAGGCACTCTTCAAATGGAATATTTGTAAATAAACTGTCAACATCCAATGATAATAATTTTGAATTGGGAGGAATGTTGACATTTTTTATTTTTTCAATTAAATTTAAACTATTTTTTAAGCTATATTTTGGTGAAAAAGAAGACTTAATTTTTAATAAGTTATTGAGATGTTTAGCCACATCGTATGTTGGGGCACCAATGTAAGAGACAACGGGGCGAATTGGGATGTTATCTTTATGAGTTTTGGGTAAGCCATACAAAAAAGGAGAACGCGGGTTCATAGTGATTTTATATTTAAACTGATCTGGAGAAATACATGACATGTTATTAATAGCATTCTTCAACTCAACGGTAAATTTTTTGGTGGGGTCGGAACTAAGACGTTCGAAATCCTCCCCCTGGATAACGTCGTTAACCTTCTGGTGGTAAGCAGTTTTATCTAAAATGACTACAGTATTGCCTTTATCGGCTTTTGTAATTATTAAATTATCTTGATTAATTTTGGTTTGCAATGACCGATATATTTGTAATTCAGAATTATTTTTAGGAAATGAGGTAGATGAAACTTTTTTAATCTGAACCACCTGATGTTTAACGGCGCTATCCACTTTACTTCTAACGCAAGCCATTTCTGAATCCACCACCAAAGTTTCGAGCGATTTCTGGGATAACCGTGGTCTGATGTTATATTTTAAGCCTTTTTCTAATAAAGAGATCTCCGAAGAGGAAAATTGGGTATTCGTATAATTTCTGATAAAATCGCAAATATTCTTAAAAAAACACAATGTTTTCGTTACTTTTCGATCAGATCACAATTTACGTAATCTTTGTAACGGTAAAGATAAATTACAAAATTCAAAAAAATCCGGTATTTACAAATTAATTTGCAACGAATGTAACGGGGTCTATGTGGGTCAGACAGGCCGTAATTTTGAGGTTAGATTTAAGGAGCATATTGCCGCTTACAGGAATGGCCATCCAGACAAGTCACATTTCGCTAAACATTTAATTGACACCGGCCATTCCTTGAGCGACAATAACACGTATACTATTCTGCATGTTTGTGATAAAAATTTCCGGTTGTGTGTGTTGGAGCAGTTAGAAATCTCCAAACATAATAATAATAGTAATTTTACACTGTTGAATGAGCAAACAAACTTAATTACATCCCCTCTTTTAAGTGTGATTACAGGTAGATCATAGTCGATGCAGGCGTCACAATGACGTTTGTGTCGATTGTATCGATTGTGTGATCGATGCAATCGATACAAAGACGTTTGTATCGATTATGTGTCATCACGACACTATATAAGAGGCGAGAGCTGTCGTACTAGCTCATTCGCAGCCGAGCGCTCGTCGAGTCAACATCTCCTGAGGATGGCCTGTGGAGGGGCGAAACACGTGTCGAGTATAGGTTTGATTGCGTGGCATGTTTTTCCGTTTTGTGTATGTGTGCATATGCATGTGGGCGGGAGGGTGGGACCCTTGCTGCATGTGCATATGCATGATTGCGTAGGAGTGGGATTGCATCCTGCAACAAGCCTGGATTTTTGTCGCGGAATTAAAACTAAATATTTTCCCTAACATTTAATGTCATGGATTTCCGCAAAGTAACGCCTGATTCTATAAATTATCTTATACATCTTATTTATTGAGTACTTGAATACAAAGAGGGTTGCATTTTCATGGCATTGGGACACATTTTCGACGGATCACCCTATAATCTGCAATCGACGACACGTCATGGCGCAGGTCGGCTAGTTAACTAGCCAAGAAATATCGAGAAAAATAAAATGATTATCAGTCGAATCACATAATTTCCGATTCGGAAAGAAATTCCAATAAAAAGAGACTCCTTGCCATGACCAATCCTTCAATTAATTGACTGAGCATAAATACATTACAATCTGGAATAACGATGAAGCATATATGAAGCATATATACATTACAATCTGGAATAACGATTCCAGATTGTAATGTATGTATACTTAACACAGATACGCAATTAAATAAACAATTAACGATGTAAAGTTATGGATTATGTGCACCAAGCTGTAGTCGGGGAATGAACGTTTACTAAAGGAGTTTAAAGAGTGAGGGCATGTATCCATCTGAAGTGCTTATACTCTGTCCACAAGTCGCTTTGTGCGAATTATTCACAAGCTGTCGCATGACATTGAGGCCGATTGACAAACTTCTAACAAAACCTCAGCAGAGCAAAATTACTACTAACCACTTTCTTCTGTAAGGCGTTAGCTGTTATAATACACTCTTTAGTTTCAAAGTCAAAGTCAAAGTCAAAATCATTTATTCCAACTAAACCATAAATAGGTACTTTTGAAACGTCAAAATAGAGAAGTAGTCTGTCAGTCTGTTCGTCAGTGAAGCTAGGTGCTCATTCCAAATTGTAGTTTCGTGATTAAGCAGCATTACGCAAGTATAGCTGTAGCCTGTGGCCCTTGTAAGTCCAGTTCGTGCGTGTTTCGCTTGTCCTTCACGTTATCAACAGTTCAAGATCTACCAAAAACGTAAGCAAATGTTCGCGAGGCGTAAGGAAACGCCCACAGTTAGTGCGTATTCACATGTTCCGGTATCCGGTTAACCGGCTGCGCTGTGTACCGGGGCGGGACGTATAGCTATGATATGAAAACATACGTTAACTTTTACCTATACCGGTATGTTTTAATTTTATCTAGTAGCATCACGGATTCGCGTCCGTTACGGATGTAAAATCCTGTCTTATTTGTAATTTCTAATGCAATACATAGCTAGGAACCAGTATCGTGAAGTTGGGAATAACAAAACGTTTTCTGTTACACCTTGTTTAAAATATCAGTTCACCGTGCTCGATGTTATTGCATCGGCACAATCCTCGAGCGACGTTGGGAAGCCGCCTCCTCTTTTAGGGAAGCAGTCATGCTCGTAGAATAGGAGGTGGAGCGCGTGAAGGAATTATTGTCGTTTCGACTCAGCTACTGCAGGAGACACGCCGGCCGACCGGGGTCGTGCGATGTCCAGCCACCGTAAGCGCGTGTCTGCGGATGGTGAGATCAGAACCGAACCCGAGCAGAGTCATCAGATCAGACCAGATGGGGACCACTCGGTCAGAGCTGCAGATGCCAGCCTAACGATGAACCGTCAAGAAGCATGGTGTAAGAGTCCACCATTACCTCTTGCTCCGCCGTCATTCGTTCATCGTTCACCGTTCCGTTCCGTGTTTCTCGGTGAACTCGGTGTGAGCTGTCCCTAAGGGCTCTTTTCACACGATCCGGTTTTCGGATAGCCGGTGTCAGGTAACCGACGATATTGTGCATGCCATGTAAACATATGCTGTGGCACGAATCAACGCACAATCTCTGCCGAAAGAAACCGAATCACGTGCAAAAGAACTAACCGACAACTTACTTAATAATAATGTGACCAAAGCATACATAGTTAGACGTAATTAATTGTATTAAGGAGTGTTTGCGGTGGGATGCAGTCGAGTCACTTGGCTGGTCAGGGATATGACGAGCTAGATTACATCTCCTTTCAAAGTCAAAATCGTTTATTCCAACTAAACCATAAATAAGTACTTTTGAAACGTCAAAATAGAATAGTAGTCTAGATTCGAATAGAGAAGAACGAGCAAGAAACTCCATCGTCACTCTTTTTTTTTTAAATATATCTTTTACAATTTCACTAATATAACATGTTGTATACATTATTGTACCCTTATGTGAGAACAATGCAGAGACAGATTGTAAAAAAAAGAACAAATGATGGGATCTATCATTGAATTTTAATTCTTTGTCGTCTCAAACATGGCGCTCGCATATGCGTAGTAATCCGGAGGGAAGCGAACATCACGAATTTTACTCTAAGAAAAAGGAATTACTCTTGTAAAGCTCTTAGAGGTCTTAAAAATAGAAATAAATTACACAGGACAAAGCGAAATTCTATGAAAGCTGCTCCACAATATAGGTTTTGATAATGATGACACGGATATAAGCGGTATATGGCCTCACAGCCAGGATAAAGTTACATACAAGTACATAAAAAATGACAATTATTGAAAACCAGGATTTTAATAAATTATTGTTAAGCAAACTTTTGTTTTGTTTAGCCCCCGCATAAATTGGTAATTAAGGTATGCCCGTTCCTTAGTAGTGGGTTGATGATGATGAACCTGGTTTTGTTTTATCTATTACCTTATTCATGTCCTAGGAAACATCTCGAGTGTTCGGATACATTCTCGAGAATTTTGTTTAATTAGAGAGGGGTAGTACTGAACTGTGTTTTGTTGTGTCAAGCTTATTTATTAAATTTCTTCTTTGATAAACATATAACTTAGTTTGTCACCGAGAGACCTATATTAAATCAATTAAATGCCAGAGTAAAAGCTAATGTATGTATCTACTTCCATTAATTTTCTTATTTTTGCGGACTATTTAGTATGTACTTATATTAGCATTACATTTATTATGAAACAATGTTAGGTATTGTTTAAATAATAAAATATGTTTAAACTGTTTCTTATCTGACATACCCGATCATGGGTAATTTTTATTAATTTGCAACACTAAAGCGACGATGTGGCCACCACTCAGTTCACAGATAAGTTGGTACGACTGTACAGCTCATATTCTTGTACACCGTACAGAGATGTTAGTGTTCATTCCATGAAAAAATATACTTGACCAAATCAGTTGAAAGATCTTCGTAAGATAGGTACGTTGGTAAGTGCAAATCGGATTATTAGTAAAATTATAATTCTTATATTATATATATATTATTTATATAATATGTATGTAAGTAATCAAAGCTGCTGATCAAAGTTTGCTACTGCTGACTCACGGTTGGCACTAATTGGACGAACCGTGAGTATGTACTCACGAGAGACGTCCACTGCAGACCCATTAAACATTCATTATGATGCTGTCGCGTCAGAATATTTGTATAAGACACCAACAATTTTATTCCCCAGATAACATTTATCTGACCCATTGAAAAATCAGTCCTATACAAGTTTTGTTTTAAGGCTTGAGGTTTTGACAAGGTTGTCATAAAGACTTGGTTCCAAGTCTTTATGAGTGCAAATAAACATTTATAGGTATCATATAACACAAAAATAATAATCCGCCGAATCGCATGGTGAGGCTAGCCTGGACGTGCGAGGTGGAGTAGTTATTTAATTAATAAAGCTGCGCTTCTATTGAATCGGTAATAAGTTGCATTCATTGCCAGTGCCGACGGTGGGTGACGGTTCAGCGGAGGTGCGGGGTGCGGGGCGGGGGCGCCTCGCATGGTGGCAGTGCATGCTGGCCTCCGATGTCGCTGCACTCGCGATGTTATCAAACAATAACGTCACACCGGTCTCGATCTGATACCACGTGCCACTAACTATGATATAGTCTGCACCATACATGTATCTGTACTTATATACACATGATAATGTTTATTTATGTAATATGCTACTCATCCGTGATACAATATTATTCATTAAACATTATGCTCTCAATGTGGTGGTGGCCCGGAGGTTAAGGCGCCCGCTTCTCATGCATGAGAGTGTGGGTTCGAAACCTGGCAAGTACCAATGTGACTTTTTCCGAGTTATATGTACTTTCTATGATTATTTAGACACTACTGACATATGGTGAAGGTAAACATCGTGAGGAAACCTGGACTTATAATTTCTAATTATAAGTTTGAAATCGCTAACCCTTCTTCGTGTGAGAAGAGGCCTTTCCTCAGCAGTGGGCGACTTTTTAACATTGGCAACGGGGTCCGCGGTGCACTTGTTAGTAGCTAACCTCATCTACTGGGCTCACTTATTAACAAAATCGAAATTGATTGGCGTCAACTAGAATTTTACTAACTTAATAGCTTATAACATGCTATGTTTGAAGAATATCGAATACCGACACGATGAGGGCTTCTTTAAAACAAAGCACATGTAAAGTTAAATTTTATTTGTATTTAAATTAATTTAATTTGAATTATTACCATACAACTTTAATAGTATACTAATGGATAGTAACCGTAGCCCCGGTTGCCGTAGTCTCCGTAACCTCCGTAGCCCCCGTAGCCCCCGTAGCCTCCGTAGCCGCCGTAGCCTCCGTAGCCGCCGTAGCCGTTATATCCACCGAGACCTCTGAGACCACCGAGGCCGAGACCCAAGCCGAATCCAAGATAAGGCCTTGAGAGCACCAAGGTCCAAACCATCGCTGAGACGAGTAACAAAGTTGCCTGCAACGTACCCATCACGTCATTATACAGCTAGATTCCCACGGATTATTTATGACACTATGCAACAATTATATACGAGGTACTTACGTGCTTGATCATTATTTGGTTCGATGCACAATGACTATAAAATACCAATCTGGCAACTTTTATATGTGCCTAATGGAAAATTCGGTGAGTTATAAAACGCATATTGGTTAATTTAGTTGGTTTAATTAATAAGTCGTTAGAGGTGACGAAGATTAAACCGCACTATTATCATATTGATAACAAAATCGATGCGCGTCCGCCTCCCTGTTCATACTCGTGAGTATAGTAAACAAACAGTGCGTGTCCTCGCAGCACGCGGCGCCGGCCCTCCGATGCCAGGGCGACGGACTCGTTGCATGCGCATTACATGCAGTCGCCATTGTTTTATTATTTATTAATGCGCAACGTTAAAGTTATGAGAGAGACAGTATGTGGTGATTCATTGATTACTCACAGATCTTATACTGCGAACATATTTTTATAATAAAACACAGAACAGTTAAAGTAGGATTTACATAACATCACGAATTTCAATCCCTGGACAGTTGGACTCAAGTACACATTTACAACACCACGTGGTGCAAGTTGTATTAGATATCACTGGTCTCACCATCTAACTATATTTGCCAGTGAAGGCGGTGCTCCTATTCCATAAAAATATATTCGTAAAATTATAGACGTGATTTTGTATAAACGACTAGCTACTTCCGGGCGGTTTCACTCGCTGCTGGGTTCCATTTGATTGTAGCGTGATGTTTTATAGCCTATAGCACTCGGAAACATTAGTGTCCATGGGCGGCGCGGATCGCTTAACATCAGGTAATCCGTCTGTTTATTTGCCATCACAAAACAAAAAAAAAATCGAAAGTAAAAAAAAGCATGAAGATTTTTACAAGATTAAAAAAAAAACTTAATATCAATAAGTGAGAGAATTTTGGGAATCCGACCAGTGGTTCCAAAGATTACCCCCTACAACCAAACTTACAAATTCTACCTCTTTTTAATATTATTATTATTAAGTATAGATATAGATGGTATTGTTTGCTCGTTGTTTTACACACCGATTGATATTCTAAGCACAGACTGACTGCCATACACACAGTTCTCTTTTGACATCTCAAAAATGTATGAAATATATATTTAGACATTAATATGAGTTAGAGAAATTAATGCTTCGACTTTGACTTTTACTTAGCTATAATATGCAATGCGAGCATTGTCGCGACGTACACTGGAACGGTAAGTTTATCATCATCATCAGCTGGAAGGTGTCCACGTCGTTAGGTATTTCTCATTGTCTAACGACAAGTTGCATTTTGCATTACAAATTATAATTAACCTATTACAATTAGTTACACTAGCAGAATGTCGATCCTTATGTCAGCTTGGAGTTGTCATGCTCACTCAAAGGTCACATTGGCGGTGGGACGTTCACTGGATCGCTCGATTCCCTTTATTATGGTTGAGTTGGGCGATGCTGGTGTACGTTTCATGTTCGTGAACGGGCGCCGTCAATTGAGACTGGTCAGCTCCGGACTGTTTATTGTACTCAAGGTTATTTTCTTTTTATGTTTCTCTGTATACACGCGTTACACTGTTTTCACTTAATCAAACCAACTAAATAATGTATCAAAGAATCTTTATGTGACACATTTAAAAAGAGTAACCATGGAGTTTCTTGTTCGTTCTTCTCCATCGGAATCTACACTTTAGAACGAGCGTATAGCTTCACTAAGAGGACTGACCGACAGACTGACACTTTATATCTTTAAATTTTTGTTTGACGTTCATAAGTGCCTGTATGGGTCTAATTGAAATAAATGATTTTGACTTTATCTTTCCATACTCGCATCTATCTTGCATAGCTCGACTCACACCGCGACCCGAGGGTTCGGAAAATCTAGGTAACTTCATCACGTATCTAGCATCTACAAGAATTTAACAGAGCGCCCCGGTCAGTCGTGTTGGCTTGCAAGCACAAAGTTGTACTGTATCAGTGCCAACCATCGTGTCACGTTCCTCCTTGTGATGTCATCTCAATCGTCACGTGCGCGTCCTTCCTCAAGTAAAGCTGCTTGATGCACCCGCGAGGTGGTGTCGCTCTACTGCGTTGGCTTATGTCCTCTGGCTGTTTACATTACAGGTATGTACCTACAGTGAGTGTTGTGGTCGATTTAGAACCTAACTGCTTTTTTTTTTGTCAGGGGACAATCATCAAATGACTTCTCGCGCCCAGGGTGAGGGGACGGGGAGTGTCAGACTCTTACTCAAAACGCCCCGGTATCTTCTCCTGCTTTAGGCGGAGGCCGCGGTGCCTCATTGGGCTTAGGTAGGGCCTCAGTTGCGGTGGTCAATTCGCTTTTTGAGGCCTTACTCGCCGTTTACAGACCCGCGTCTACGATGGCCGGAGCTCGGTGCATATCATGTAAGTACAATAGTACCATTGGAAGTAAACAATGACATCCATAATTATGAGCTATTTAAAAAATCAATAGATCTATAAATAAAAACGTATTTACAGTCATGTGTGATACGTGGCTGATTTGGTATACTGGTATAATTACATAGTGCTGCTCACACTGGGTACTAGGGAGGAAGTCTCCAATAGGCATCATATGTAAGTATTGTAGATCGATTTGTTGTTTGGTTGATTGAATAAGAAGGCTTCGTAGACACACAACAAAATATATTCATGTGCTAACTTAATTCTGTGCGTATGTGTACTATGAAGCTGTTATATATGTCAATCTGTGTTGTAATGATGATAATAATATGTCATCTCCTATTATTGATCGAAGTTCATCTCAAATCTTCGTCAAGACTAATTTACATTGAAGTATAGAAAAAAAAAGCTAATTTTAAGACAAACACGTACCAGGAAGGGTTGGTCTTGAGTTTCGCATTGTTGTACAGCGCTCTGGGGGTGTTAGCATATGTAAACGGGCCCTTGGTTTTTGACACCTGAGGGCCTTCTACTAAGACGGAGCGTACCGAGACGCTCATGGCTGACGCCGGGGCAGTGCAGCAGCGCTCTCAGCACCAGCAGGTAGCACTCCTCGAGGGCGGCCAGCAGCATGCAACACATGCGGGCTGCGAGCCGACGCGCCGCGACCACCACGACACACACACATTTGAAAATGGAACGTCATCCGCCGCCGCCGCCGCCGGCCGTCACTGTCCGCTGTCCGTCGTTACCACTACCACCACCGGCACCACTATGTCGCCACCACCGCTACACTACACCACTCACTCGGGGCCGCGGCACGACCAATGCGATTCAGTGTTCCTGTTTCACCAACTCGGTGTTTATTTTTAATATGAGGACAAGACAACAACAAGACATGTAACGGTTGCCATGGAGACACTCAAACATACGTTTCCGGTCGTGTCGCCCTGATGTTTCACTGTTACTATAGAAACCGATTTGACAGATTATTATTAGATCTATGGATTTTATTTATTTTATTTTAATACAATTTATCATTTTATAATCCAAAAAGTATAGTGAGATAGATATATAATCTCGTTGGTAAGAGCACTCTAATAATAATATCTCCATGATTATATTTATTTGTAAGTGTCCCTATGAACGTGTGGCCGGCTCCAAATTAAAACAAAAAGTAAGAAAGAAAATAAGTAAGTACCGTACATATTTACATATTTAGTTAAAAACTAAACCAAATAATGATTAATAACCAAATTAATTCAAAACCCCTCACCGTCCCAGTACCTACTTAAACAAGATTTTCAAGATCAAAGGTATTGTCACCAGAGGAGACCTAGACAGATGAGGGTGATATAAGAGTAAAAAGTTTTGAAGGCTAAGAAAGAAATTGGAGCCAGCATTCTAGAAATCATTCCTCGTCATCCGAGAAGAAAGCATGTCTTCAGGGACACTCAACGATATTTCCGCTTGTATAGTACTTACTTATTGCGGAGCATTAGATATTAGTAGCTACGGACTGGTGTATGATGGTAAGATTCAATAAGATCATGCACAGGTGTGTAAAGTGCAGGTGGAGGGTCGCCACTTACCGGGCTTCTGGGAGACAACAGCGTAAGCGAGGTATCATTGGGACCTTGTTTCACTGGCCCACTCTCTAATTACATACTTTTATTTTAATTTAAATATTTTACTCAAAAGTCAGTTCTTATAAAACCAACCTGATAGTTAACTTAAGGTAAAGTTAATAAAGGTATAGGTAATGAAGAGAAGTAGCATCTGAAGCCAAACTAGGCGTGAGTAAACTGAGATACAGGTGTATCTCAGTTTGCAGCGCCGTCCCGCTAAGAAGAATATATGAATTATAAAGTAACCTAAATTACAAGTTTGTAGTTAACAAACGTAAACTAGATGCAAAATTCATATTTATAAAGAATATTTTATTCGTATGCTTGTATGAGAGAAAGATGAGAATAAGCATACATAATTTCAATATGCACACATAAATGTTCTGCAAAATAGTAAATAGTGGTGCCCCCTATATTTAAATAACGCAAATAGGTATTTTTGTTTTTGTGATGGTGTACTAGTGCCATCTGGCGAAAACATAGTATCACCGTCCCGCACACGCGCAGCTTAACTAGCGGCATACTTAGCGCACATGTATTGTGGTAGCGGCAGTGAGCGCGAGCTACGAATAGGATTAGTGCATTGCTACGCAGACAGATGGCACTTTATTCAATTTTTTGAATCGTTAAGAATACCTAAAGAGATACCTAAAGCTCCAATGAACGACAAAAACCCGTGTGTATGTAATATAATAATATTGTAAAAATATGTTTTTTTAAACCAGTTTATTTTAGGTATATTTAAAAAAATCTGTCAGCCGAAGTAAGAGCACAGAGAATAGATGATGCCATAGAAGATATGATAGAAATGTGCCCATTGGCCCGGTTTTTTTGTAGGTAAGGCTAAATCATTAAATGACTTCTCCCGCCCAGGGTAAGAGAGTCAGACTCTTACCATAGTATAAAGAGAAGGGCAGTACGCTAACTCCTACTCAATCTGCGATATAATTGCCTAGGTCTTAGGGTTGTCATTTTTAGCAAAATTTTAATTTAGTGCCTAT